GAAGCCTGCTTCAGATTCTGTGTCTCTCCCTCTCTCTGCCCCTCCCATGCTCATGCTCTGTCTCCGAATAATAAGTAAACGTTAAAAAAAATTTTTAAAAAGATAATCTTATGACTATGAAAACAAAGATATATTTTGATACCTTATACCTAAATAGAAACCATAGCTCACCTATGGACGTCAATAGTTTCCATCAAACGAATGGTCACCCATGCCCAAAGGAAAATGACATGATCACATAAAAGCATGATTCCAATAAAAAATCCAGTTCCGAGAATCAGAGTTTCCAAGGGATGTGCATATTCAGCTTCCATTCCAAATGGAGCCTAAAATAAATAGGTAAGAATTACTTAATGTGTTGTGACTGTTAATTTTATGTGTCAGCTTAGCTAGGCTACAGTGCCCAACAGTTTGGTCAAATACCAGTCTGGATACTGTTGTGAAAGTACTTTTTTGATGTGACCAACATTTAAGTGAGGAGACTTTGAGTAAAGGAGATTACTCTCCATACTGCAAGTGCTCTTTATCCAATCAGTCGAAGACCTTAAAAGCAAAGACTGAGGCTTCTCAAGGAAGAAAGGATTCTCAAGACTGAAATACAGAAACCCTGCTCAAATTTCCAGCCTGTGGTCTGTCCTACGCATTTCAGACTTGCCAGGCCCCACAATCACGTGAGCCAATTCCCTAAAATAAATCTGTGTGTATCTCCTATTGATTTTGTTTCTCTGGAGAACCATGACTAATACATAACATTAAATATATTCTAATTTGTTTATACATATGGTTTTATAATATTATATTGTTTCTTTTTGTAATGACAGTATACCTAGCTGAAGATATATAAACAATAACCGTAATTCTCAATAAAAACATTTTTGTGGGGGCCTGGATGGCTTAGTTGGTTGAGTTCAACTCTTGATTTCAGCTCATGATTTCATGGTTCATGAGTTTGAGCCCCGTGTTGGGCTCTATGCTGACAGTGCATAACCTGCTTGGGATTCTCTCTTTCTCTCTGACCCTCCCCTGCTTGCTCATGCGTGTGCACGCTCTCTCTCTCTCTCTCTCTCTCTAAAATAAAGAAAACTTAAAGCAAACATCTTTTTGTTTCTACCAAACATCAAAAGGTCTAAAGATGTCCTTAATAAAATCTTAATAACTGCCTTTAATGGTGTTAGATAAAAACATTAAACAACTTAAACTCTAATTTTGGTTTATGCAGTTGAAATTGTTCTGCCCAGAAAAGGACACTTGATTTAGCAGACCATGTAATCAAGATCAATGTGGAACACATTGACATAACCAGTTGGACAAAGGTACATGAAAGCAGTTCTGATCAAATCAGTTTTTGTGGAGGCCAGAATGAGGTGGAAATGTGTTAATCAAACAAGTCAGTAATTGTTTCAGAAGTTTAAAGATGAAAGGTTCATTGTTTTGGGATCCAATTTAAATGACTTTAACATCACTATGGCCTCTATTAATCTGCCACATACCAACTGTGATAGGATAGTGCTCTGGCCCCAAAGATGAGTGACTGAACTATTTCATATAACATTTTTCTTGAAAATTTATAGAACTGGTTGTATGTATGTGCGTGTGTGTGTATTATGGTCTTAACATGTTCATGCCAAATAAAAAGCAATACAAACATCACTGACAGTTTCTTAAAAGCTTGAAGAAAAACATTTTGCCTCTAATAAAAAAAAAAATTCTAACATACCTGAAACTCATGATGAACTTTATGAATATATTTATATATTCTTTTATGATGTAAGAGCCTATGCAGAAAATAGTGCCAGGTATCTTCAATCACTGCGCAGCCTAAGCATTTTACCAACAGCAGACACCTTTAAGATGAAAATACTGTAATGAGTATACAATAACTTACTTAAACAATCTAGATTTCTCCTTGGGATCACTGCTTGAGGAATTACATGAAACCAAATACCCACTAACCACCTGACCTAACTGGATACACTGACCAGCAAACTCTCAGAACTGATAAGTACAACATGACTATATTATAGCTGGTATTATAATACCTCTGAAGAAGGGGTAAAGAGATCGACACTGTAGCAATTCTAATTCATTTTTTAAAAATGCACATGTATAGGGGTGCCTGGCTGGTTCAGCAGGTAGAACACGTAACTCTTGATCTCAGGGTTGTGACTTTGAGCTCCACATTGCTCCACTTAAAAAAAAAAAAAACTGAAAAAATTTCACATGTATAAAATCAGAGTGAAACAAAATCCAAAACTTCTAGGAAAGGAATAATACTGATGAAGGACTTGAACTGAGATTATTAAGAGTTAAAATCATCACTTCTTTTCCACCAAAGAGAGGGTCATAAGGGCAAGGGGCAAAAACATTTTATATACAAATGAACACATACACAACGCTTTTATACGTTAAACCTATATTACAAAGAAAAGAAAAAGTGTACACCTAATAGTGGTATATCTGTATTTGGGTATGTCAGGAGCAAACAGTTGAACACAAATATTATTTGAACACAAATACTTGTGCTCAGATAATATATATGTGTCTATATGGACACAACTTTTATAAATCTCACAGTTACTCTCTTCTCTTTTCATTCATTTTGGACTTAAAATGTAACAGAGTTTTTCTTGGTTGAAGCATATGGATCTGTATACAGTCACATAAAGGGTGCTACTAAAACTTCTGATGTAAGAAATCACTTTCCAATAAAATATTACATTAAAATACAGAGAGATAGGGGCGCCTGGGTGGCGCAGTCGGTTGAGCGTCCGACTTCGGCCAGGTCACGATCTTGCGGTCGGGAGTTCGAGCCCCGCGTCAGGCTCTGGGCTGGGGGGCTCAGAGCCTGGAGCCTGTTTCCGATTCTGTGTCTCCCTCTCTCTGCCCCTCCCCCGTTCATGCTCTGTCTCTCTCTGTCCCAAAAATAAATAAAAACGTTGAAAAAAAAAATTTTTTTAAATAAAATAAAATACAGAGAGATAAAAAATGGGAACATTTTAAGTTTCTACTAATGGTTTACTTTTCTACATTGTATCTACTTCTAAAGTTTAGAATAAACATTAACCAAATGAAGAAAGAAGATCAACATTAAGGATATTTTAACTAGATAATAAACCATGACTGAGTATCAAAATCAAATCTTTATCTACATACCATCTTGGCATTCTTTCCCAATCATAAGGAATATTAAAATACTCTGTAAAATAATAAGTTCCACATATCAAAGGAAGCTGGATACAAAAGTGATTAAAGAGAAGTACTTTAAAACATTTCCACTGGTTTTCCCATGTTTCTGGTTTATCCTAGGGAGAAAAATCGTAGTATTTAGTATTGTGTCGGTAATTTGACCTGAAAATCAGAGTGAATTCTAATTATTTCTGTAATGTTTCTATGTGACCTTAATTCTACGTTATTTAATTAATCTTATATTACAGTGACTATGTTGCAATAAGCAAGGGCCAGGAATCACAGCACCCTCCCCTTCTAAATTCTTGACAACTATGGTAATGAGTTAAAATAGGTGAAGAAACTGTTCCCAAACAAACCCAGGAATAAAGGTCACAAACAAACTGAAAAAAAAAAAAAAAAAAAAAAAAAAAAAAAAAAAAAAAACACAAAAAAACACCACACCGTGAATCACTCTTCCGTCTTTGCTGCCCACAGAGCCCTCACTTCTGTCAGCAGGAATTTCAGAGAAGACATGTGTTATGCTGAGATCACAGGCAGGTTCTCCCAGCTGTCATACAGACCACACTGAAAACCTGGATTACGGAGGTGAAGTGATGCCTCCAGCCATTTAGCGGTACTCAGAAATAAGTGTATTCCCAGAAATAAGTGGATTTTTGTCATATCCAATGACAGAATTATAACTCCCTGAGCTGGAAGAACGTCAGAAATGAGTCCGGTGGTTCCCAAAGAATGGAGAGCTACTGCCCACAGATGACATCCAGAGATGAAAGTCAAAATGAGAAAAGCGAGATCAATGTTGTAAAAATGTTCAGAAAACCTCATCAGGATATCGACTTGGTTAGCAAGCCATATAAAAAATCTAAATTTATTCGATTTAAAGGGCTGCAGTTAGATAAGAAAAGGTGCTTCTGGTTTCATAAAAAGACGGTGATAATATTTAATAGTTATTGGTTTGTTTTGCATGTCCTTACTTAAAAATCCAGACAGCTGCCAGTCAAACTTTTTTAACTAAACCATAATATCCCAAGCAAGGAAACTACTGCTCAGCAGTAGAAGCCCAGAGAGGTCTGCTACCTTGCCCAGGATCACACGGGCAGGGACCCGAACTAGGACTAACAAAAATCTAGGTCTCCAGTTCTGGTCTTAAAATTCTCTTTTTTGTTGCTCTTAAAATCCCTTGAGTTATCTTCTCTAACAAAAAAAAGAAAAAGCATTTAATAGATAACCAATCTAGAGAGCCAGCCTCCAATCTCAGGGCCACCATCACTAGCTAACTAGCTCTGAGATGCTCACAACTCTGTTTCCTCAACAATAAAATGAAGGGATTAGACAAGATAATTATTAATTAGCTATCTCTACTCTGAGATTATCTGACCTCCTTACTCCAAACCTCCAGTCTGTGACTGGGGACAAAATAAATTAAAGAGCCTAGCTTGGGCAAATTTTCCCTACAAATTCCATTTAACAGACTTTTAATATCCTAGCTTGAATGTGATACCCTAATTTAGCTGCAGAAATTAACACACAAATCAGTCAACTATAAAATCACATGGTTAAAGTGTACATAAATTAGTTTAAAAGATAATGAACAATGAGGGAGACTGGGGGGGGGGTGTAATCTGCTTGGAATTCTCTCCCTCCCCTCTCTGGCCCTCCCCTTGCTAGCTCTCTCTCAAAATAAATAAATAAATAAATAAATAAATATTAGAAAAAAAGATAACAAACAATCAAAAACTCCTACCTAGTGGAACATCAGAGTTTACTGTATTTTACACTTTACATATCACTGCATCCTAATATGAAGGAATACCATTATTAGGACAATCGAATGTTTTTAGTATACGTGTCCCTGAGGAAAACTGCTAGAGAACTACAAAGACGCGATGTTCTGTAAATTTCCCTCTCACTAGTGAGCATGCGCACTGACTATCCTAGTCTATCCTGTTTGAAACTGCTCTCCTCAGGGGCACCTGGGTAGGCATGATGGGTTGGCGTCGACCAGCCAGGTCACGATCTACGGCGGTCCGTGGGTTGAGCCAGCGTGAACTCCTGAGGCTGATGGCTCAGAGCCTGAGCTGAGCTTGTTCAATTCGGTGTCTCCCTCTCTCTGCCTCCTCCCCCGTTCATGCTCTGTTCTCTCTGTTCCCAAAAAAATGAAATGTGAAAAAAAAAATTAAAAAAAAAAAAAAAAAAAGAAACTGCTCTCCTCACCGCCAGCAACCTTCTTCCTGTGCCCACAAACAAGGGTTTCAGGGCTTTTGCCTTCAAAATGCATAAACCTGTAATTAACTGTACTGATTCTGTTGCTTGTTTTTAAACCCTTTTATCTTATGAGAACTTGTACTGATTTACCAACACAGTTCATTTTGGTATCAAAAAGCTCAAAGCAGAGATTTTGATGGTGTTGAACCTCAAAGGAAGACAAGACAGCATGAGGCCATATACCCGCCCTTTCCATTTCTGTTTCTAAGTCCACCTGTAACCAACTAGACAATTACTTGTACGGTCTTTTGCCACCTTTTAAAGTCATTCATAAAACACTGACTGAAAAGGTCTTCTTCTCTCTGGAAAAGTGACCACCCTCTGACCAGTGAGTCAAGTGCGGAGGGCAGAAGGAGGACAGGGACACTTTGGCCTGGCCAGACATACCATGATTCAGCCCTATAAGCAAACAAATCAAGAGGTGACACACTCTAGTCAGAATCATCCCAAACATGCATGAAGACAGACATCCAAATTGAACTCTGCCTTTCAAAGCAGGCCCTGTTATAAAAAGCATTTTGGAACTTCTGTCCTTAATTTAGGGTAAGAGAATACTCCCCTTTGGGCATGTCCCTTTTTCCTTCCTCTCCAATCTTTTTGTTCTTCCCTTGGCTTACAGTCTAGTCGCCTGATCGCCTGCAGTATCCCCGGATAGGATCAATGATGGCCTTTGCGTGAGCACTTAAACTCACTGGGAGAGGCAGCAGGGCAAACAGACCCATGGGGGAGAATGTGCACACCGCCTGCCACCTGACGGGTACTTAGTAAGTGCAAATTAGTCTCCACAAAGGAACACTCTCAAATGTTCTACCAAGACCACGTGTCCTGGAGTTTTAGTTTGGCATGACTTTTTAGAAAAGTAAACAGCAAGCATTAGAAACTATCATGGGTTTGCCAAGTGCTGATAAAGCATCTCTAATAAGCTAGTCCAGACTCTTTGCTGGGACCCCTGTCACACTCTAGTTGACACTCTGGTAGAGCTCACCATTTTCCCTGTGATTAAAACTGAAAAGCAGCACTGTGTGTATCTCAACACTCTGTCATGCACGGTGGGATCTCAAGAAATTTAGTGCACTAAAACAAGTATCTAGAAACTAGGGGCCTCAGGACTTCCTCATTTGGGATGACATGAATGCTGCTCAACCACTACCATATTATTTAAGGAAAAAACAAAACGTTTAATAACCCCAATCAAGATCTTAGAATATTAACATACACTTAGCAGCTGAGACATCAGGGGTAGGAGCGAATTGCAAATTATCTACAAATCCCCATAACTTTCCTTTCCAGCTAGTTTAAGAGATTAAAATTTCTAAGCCCAAATTAGACATCTAATGAAAAGTATAATTTAACAAATTATTCTTGAAACATTAGCAATAACAATCTAGGGCTGTGCTGTCCAATATGGTAGAACTAGAAATGTGTGGCTATTGAACGTTTTAAATATGGCTAGTCTAAACTGAGATGGGCTAAAATTAATGTAAAATACACAATCGATTTCAAAGTCTTATTGTGAGAATAAGAACATAAAGTATCTCATTAAGTACTTTTATATTGATTACTTAAGATGATAATAGTTTAGATTTATTGTATTAAATGAAGCATAATACTAAAATTAATTCCCCTATTTCTTTATACTTTTTTATGTATTCTATCAGAAAATATAAAATTATGCATGTTCCTTCACTGAATTTCCATCGGACAGCCGTGATCTAGATTCTCTCAAAACAAAGTTATATTTACTTTTAAAACATTCCACATCAATGATAACATTCCACTGTAAGTCCATCACACTCACCTTCTGAATTTTGTACTTTTTCATGTAAGGTATAAATTGAAAC